GAGCTGGGGTGTGGTTGGCCCTGCAGTGACCTGGGGGAAGAAGATGAAGAGCCTCCAAGGAGGGCCGAGGTGCTCTTACAGAAGAGGGACTAGGTGGTGACCACTGCAGACCATAGTGATTTTATAAATATCGTGGAAAAAATGGTGGTGCCACATAGCTGCCATGAAGTGGAGCCCACCTGGGATGAGTCCTTGCTACCTTGACCTCTTCTAAATGTGTATTGGCCCATCTATTTAGTGTGAGAATGCCAGGTAGCTAAGTTGGCGGCCTGGGTGGCAGCGTCCTCTGGCTTAGCACAGGACCTATGCAAAGCGCATGGTTAACATAATCACTAGCAAGGCAGGTACCCTCAAGAAAAGGGAAATTTCCATTTCACTCCTGAAAGAATCTTTAAAGCCAAAACTCAAATCAAAGAGCAAAGTATAATAACTTCCTCTGGGCAAATTTATAATTAATCCTGGATTAATTGGCCTTAATGAAGTTGAATTAATTACTGGCTGTTTGAAAAGAAGTTTGAACTACCTTAGTACAAAATGGCATTAAAGAAACAGAAAGGAACCAGCATCACATTAACATTAAGAACAAATCCCAAATAATCACAGTTCTGCAGGCTGTGTCCCATCAATTATTTTCCCAGGGACTGTGCCCAACCAGTGGAACTGCACGGAACCCAGGGAGTCTGCCAGAGCGGGGGATGTCTTCCTGGGCTACGGGTTTTAGGGGTGAGTCCATTCAAGAAGCAGCAATGGGGCAGTAGCATGTGTCAGGCCCCAGGCAATCAAAGATGTGGAAGGTGAGGGCCCTGCTCTCAAGTCACCCTCAACAGGCTAGGATGGGGGAGAGCACCAGAGCACTGGCCTGGTCTCACGCTAACCACACTCACTGCGAGAGGTGCTAGGACAGAGACGAGGGACATAGCAGGAGGCATGAAACATCCTACGCCTGGCTAAGGGCAGCTCTGCCTTTCCCACTGTACGGGCACTGTCCTTGTGTTTCCGTCTCAGTGCAGAGGCACACAACTTCCCAGGGAACAGAGACTCAAGCTGGGGATCTTGTAGGAGTGCCGAGTCCCTAAGTTTGGAACTGATAGCAACCATTTTCTCCCTAGGAGGAAAGAGCCTGCCTGGGAAGGGATGAAACTCAGAGGAAAGAGGAACAGAGAGAGGAGCAAAGTTGGTGCCTTCAAGCCATTCTCTGAGCATGGATGAAGCAAGCTCTCTGGACTTTTCAGTTTATTTATCTAACTTAACAAAGACTGATACAGTGGTCATGATGCATTAGGTATTGCTCTAAGTGCTATAGAAACACCAAATCGGTTATGGAAATGCCAACTCAGAATTCTGTAAATTCGGAACTATTTTATTCTCCCACTTCATGGATGAAGAAACGGAGGCTCAAAACAGTTTGGAGCTTGCCCGAGGCCTCACAGCTCTCAGCTGGTGGAGGCAGGGTTTGAACACCAACAGCTGGCCACCAGCGTCTTTGCCGCCACCACACCACGCTCAGTGCATTCCCTTTTTGCTCCCCTCAGTTTCATGGAGAGTTTCTGTCATTTGCCCTCAAAAGCTGTGACTGTGCAAGACATGACATGGAGGCAGCCCATCCAGGCCCAGGAGGGCAGAGGAAGCTTCCAGAAAGAGTGCCAGGCAAAGGAGCCAGCTGTAGGAAAGTGCGTTAGAGTGGCGTGGACTCGCAGGTTCCAGATCCCCAAGAGTAGGAAGAGCAAGAGAGAGGAGAGAGGTGGGCTGGGGAGACAGTCTGTTCCAGACCACAGAGATAAATGTCTTACCTCTCTTCCCAGTGGGGACTGCAAACCAAAGACTCCTGGTTCCACTGTTGTCTTTAGGGCTTTGTTTATGATTAGAAAAATGTGATTTAAAATTCAAATATTATCAATGTGTTTCAAGTAAAATCTCTGCCTCTCCTAAAACCAAACAATTCCTCCTCCCTGGAGACATCATTTTTGCACACCACCCACAGATGCTGTGCTAGACTCTTGGGATACAGAAGTAGCCCGAGTTCAAACAGTTGAGGGGAAGCAAAAAATGAATAATAACATAATAAGGGAATTATTTTATTTATGCAGGGGCCAGCATTTTGGTGCTGTGGGTTAAGCTGTTTGCAACACTGCCATCCCATGTCAGAGTACCAGTATGAGTTCCAGGTGCTCCACTTCTTTTTCTTCTTCTTTTTTTAAATTTATTTATTTATTTGAAAGGCAGATTTACAGAGAGGCAGAGGCAGAGAGGGAGAGAGAGGCCTTCCATCCACTGGTTCACCCCTCAAATGGCTGCAACGACTGGAGCTGAGCCAATATAAAGCCAGGAGCCAGTAGCTTCCTTTGGGTCTCTCACATGGGTGCAGGGGCCCAAGGACTTAGGCCATCCTCCACTGCTTTCCCAGGCCATAGCAGAGAGCTGGATTGGAACTGCAGCACCTGGGACCGGAACTGGTACCCATATGGGATGCTGGCACTATAGGCTGCGGCTTTACCTGCTACGCAACAGCGCCGACCACGTGCTCCACTTCTAATCCAGCTTCCTGATAACGTGTTAGGAAGGCAGCAGAGGATGGCCTATGTACTTGGGGCCCTGCCAGCCACATGGAAGACTGACAGAATTTCTGGCTCCTGGCTTTGGCCTGGCCCAGACCCAAAGGATGTGGCGATTTGAGGAGTGAACCAGCAGATGACAGACCTTTCTCTGTGTTTCCCCCTCTTTCTCTGTTTCTCTGCTTGTGAAATACATAAATCTAAAAATTTACTTGAGAGGTAGACAGACCTTCCACCCATCTTTTTGATGGCACATCTTCCATGCTCACAGCTCACTCCCACTCAAAACCTGCACCTCCCTGCAATCCTGTTAGCATCTCTAGGTTGCAAATCGCGTCTCTTGCAGCCCAACATTGTTCCAAGTTTCAATCATACTTTTGAAGTCAACACAACATTATGAAGTCTGTGAGGCCAATACCACAACATTAAAGTTACAAAACAGAACACTTCTTCTCATTTCATTGCCATTTGTCAGCATTCTGTGTAGAGCAGAGGCAAGAAAGAGGGATTATTTGAAGCCAGTCCCTGTTCAGAACATTTTGTTCATTGAAATATTTTTCACAGGCACTCAAGAGCCTCTGAACTATTACTACCTATTTATTAAGACTCTCCTTTAAAAATGTTGCTTTTACCATTGTGTTTTTAAAAACGGAAGACAAACTTTTCATGTTCCCTATTTGCAGGATGGGAAAATGAAGACGAACTCTGGTCTCTTAGTAAGAGGGCATGAATCCCACCATAAGGCCCCCACTCTCATGGCCTCACCTCACCCTAATTACCTCCCAGAGGCCCCATCTCCCACTCCCATCACACTGGGAGTTAGGGCTTCATCACATGACTTTGGTGAAGGGGAGGGGACCTGGGGAGGACCATTTTCTGATGCAGTCAGGAGTGCAGAAGGCATCAGGTAGCACTTTCTGGGAGGGCAGTGGTACGCCTGTGCGTGGCACAGCTCAGCACAGAGCACAGATCGGCTTCCCCGTAGGCTCCAGTGAATTTTGTGCTTGGCCACGGCAGTCTTAAAATTATGAGTTAAATTAGTTGCTGGTGTGTAAAAGTCAGATTTCATGCAGAAATCCTCTCTTCTCTTGAGAAATGGAAAGACTGGGCCCTGGGCGGGGCGAGGCGGGGCGGGTGCTGGGTTCCTGGGGTAGCAGCACTGCTGCCTGGTATCCATTGGCTGAGGCTGAGCCAAGGCTTTCCTTCTTTTTTTTTTCCTCCGAAAGAAAACTTTTACTTAAAGAACACAAACTGCATGCATTTTATAAGTGCAACTTTAGGCATATAGTGATTCTTCCCACCATACTCGCCCTCCCACCCCTCCTCCCTCCTCCCTCCTCCTCCCTCCTCCTCCCTCTCCCATTCCCAGTCCCATTCTCCACTAAGATCCATTTTCAATTAACTTTACACAAAAAAGACCAACTCTATACTGAGTAAAGAGTTCAACAATTTGCACACACACACAAAAAACAAAACTGGTTCTCAATAGTCGAGACAAGGCTGTTCAAAGTCACTGCATTTTAATTTCCTCCTCCACCTCCTCCCCCTCCCCTCCCCTCCCCTCCTCTTCTTCCTCCTTCTCCTCCTCTTCTTCTCCTTCTTCTCATCCTCCTCGTCCTCCTCCTCTTCCTCCTCCTCCTCCTCTTCTTCTTTTTTCTCCAAGGCCTTCCTCCTTACACAGGACCAGTGCTCTTCAGTTCCAGGGTCTCACCACTCCCGGTTAATGTCTCTCCTTTGAGGTACCTGCTGGGTCACAGCAGATACTCAGGTCTGTGGCCCCTGGTTGACTGTGGTGAGCGATGTTTTTGTGGTTCTAAACTCTGGGCTCTCATGCACATGCACATCCATTACCCGTCTCACCAGGACTGGGAGTTTTGTGGTTCCTCCTAGGGCCAGGCTACAGACCCCGGGTGAGCATTCCTGACTCAGTGATAGCATCACCTTCTCCCATCTTCTAAGACTTCCCCAGATTTACCCATGGCTCCTTCTCAACATGGCAGCCTCAGCACACAGCAACTCTGGGAGCTCTTTCCTCCAACCCATTATTCGGAAGCTATTCCTCTTTTCGTCGCTGCTTTTACTTTCCATAGAGGCTTTCTCACTCTTTGTAATGATCTGGTCCAATCACTAGTTCACCTGTGTGTTGTCCTACAGGGGACACTGCATCCCAGTGCCAGGAATAGACAGTGCCCGGTATCCAGTAGGCACTTAATAAGAACTTACTGAAATGAATAAATGAGTAGATGTAAAGATCCCCAGGGCTTCAGGTGGGCACAACCAGGCGAGCGAGCAGCCCTGAAGTCGGTGGCTTAGGTCAAGCCCCGTCCTTGGGCACCCACTTGGCGCACGGAGCGGGACCGAACCCTCGGGCTCCAGGCGGGCGGAAGCTTCGGGGCCGGAACGGGCGCGCCCGGCGCGCGGGTTGCGGGGGGGCAGCTTAACGGGCCGGACCGCAGCGGCCCCCGAGCGAGGTGAGGGGCGGGCCGGGCGAGTGTCCGAGCCGGCGGCGGCGGTATGGCAGGGCAGCGGGTGAACGTGAACGTGGGCGTGCTGGGCCACATCGACAGCGGCAAGACGGCGCTGGCCAGGGCGCTGAGCACCACGGCCTCCACAGCAGCCTTCGACAAGCAGCCGCAGAGCCGCGAGCGCGGCATCACGCTCGACTTGGGCTTCTCGTGCTTCTCGGTGCCGCTGCCGCCGCGCCTGCGTCCGGCACTGCCGGCGCCCGGGCCCGGGTCCGAGCCCGGCGAGCCGCTGCTTCAGGTCACGCTGGTCGACTGCCCCGGGCACGCCTCCCTCATCCGGACCATCATTGGCGGTGAGCGCGGGCCGGGGCGAGAGTCGGGCTCGGGGACGCTGGGCGGACCGGACGGGCTCGGGGTCCGAAGGGAGAGCGCCCCACTTCCCTCGCGGGGTCCCTGCGGCCCCAGAGGCGTGCGTGACGCCCCCAACGCGCCGCAGCACGTGATGGGAGGCCTCGGGACTCGAACTCGGGGCCAGCTGAGGCGGACGCTTTCCCGTCCCACACACCTGAGCGGCAAGGTGCTTCCCGTTTTCCCGCCATAACATGTGCCCGCAATACACGAGCAAGCTAGGAAAAGGGTATATGCAACAAATTCCTCCCCTCCCCCCACAAAGGACTACTTGCCTTACCCTGTGGCCCCCCAGTTCCCACTCTGTCAGCCACTGTTCCCAGTGTCGTTTCAGAAAAACCCCGCAGAAATGCAAGCATATCTTTGTATATGCAAATGCCCCGTGCTGATGCGAGGTTTCACTCAACACTGACTCTGTATTTGTCCCTTTAAAGCTCGATTCTGTTTCAGGCTCACATAGACCAACATTTTCCTAACTGGTCTCTTAACGATGGACCTTTATGTTGTTTGCAGTGTTTCCTAACCACGCTGGAATGAATATTCTAGAACATGCGTCTTGGAAATGTATGTTAATAAATCCTTAGGGACTTAGCCTAGTCCCTGGTGCTGTGAATTTTCAGACATGACAGGTACTTCCAAAATGCCCTCCCAAGATGTTGTCTCACTAAAGTTTTAGAAAAGATTTATTTAATTATTTATTTGGAAGTCAGAGTTACATGGAGAGGGAGAGGGAGAGAGACCCTGCATCCACTGGTTCGCTCCCCAATTTTCTGCAGTGGCCACCTTCATCTAGGTCTTCCAGGTGGGTGGCAGGAGCCCAAGTACTTGGGCCATCCTCTATTGCTTTCCCAGGCCATCAACAGGGAGCTGGGTTGGAAGTGGAGCAGCCGAGACACAAACCAGTGCCCATGTGGGATGCCAGCGTTGAAGGCATCAGCTTTACCCACTATGCCACAATGCTGGCCCTTTCATTCATTTTTAATTTTACAGATGGTGCATGAATGTATGTCACTTGTGAACAAATAGAACTTAATGAGTGAGGAGAAGGTCCTCACACTTAACCCTGTTCTCAGTTCTGGGCCCCTCCCATCTCTCCAGATGAAACCACTACTGCATGTTGAATATCATTTTTCCAAAATGCTTGAGGATGGAAGTGCTACAGATTTTTTTTTAGCGATTTGGAATATTTGCATATGCCTAATGGGATATCTTGGGGATAGGTCCCAAGTCTAAACATGAAATTTGTTTATATTTCGTACACAAGTCATACAGATAGCCTGAAGGTAATTTTATAGTGTTTTTAGTGCGCTTGTGTTCTGGCTGCAACCTGTCACAATGAGCCAGGTGTGGAATTTTGCACTTGGGGTGTCGTGCTAGTGCTCAAAACGTTTCTTCCTTTGGAGCAGTTTGGATTCTGTGTTTTCAGGTTAGAGATGCTCACCCTGTGCCAACCTTGTGGCTACTTTTCCAAACCCAGGTAACTCCTAAAGCTGTGGACAGGGCTTTGAAACTTGCTTTTCTTTTAGAGAGTGATGATACAATAACACTACGAGTACGTCTCTGGCAGTGTGTGCAGCTGCCAGGCAGCCCCGCAGCCACAAGGGGAGACAGCGGCACCCTGCAGTGTGCTTGCAGCTGAGCTGTGACGATCGGCGGGGAGGTGGGTTGAAGGCTTTTTCGACTTAGGATATGTTCAGGTTACGATGGGCTTATCAGGGTGGTACACTCAGTTTTAAGCTGAGGAGCATTTGTAGTGTAGGTGAATGGTGGAGGACGTGCGTTTGGAGTTAGAAGAGCTGGGCATGGAGCCTGGCTTTCTCTCTCACTAGCAGTGTGACCTTTGAACCTAGTTCTGAACTTTGCACATGTTGACAAATAATGGTAACTGCATAGCTACTCATTGGCTTGGTTTTTCTTGCATATTTGCTGCTTTCCAGCATACCCTGCTAGGAATGTGGTGGTTACCGTTTATCAGTTGGTGAAGTCAGAACTCAGGGAGGCAGCGAGGTCGTGGCCCAGTCCAGGATGGCCTAACTCCACAGCCAGGGTCCTCCCCATGCTTTCAACGTCACCGATCCTCTTCCTACTCCCTTCCAGTTTATACATCTGCAGAGAAACTTCATATGACCCAAAAAATTTCAGCACTAGCCTGATCCTCTGCAACCAAATCCTCATGTCCCAAAGAATTTGGCAAATCCTTGGTGTAGATGATAAAATCCCAGCAGAACAGGGGTTTTTCTACTCTTGTACGTGCACCGTTGTTCTTTCCTTTCACCTCCTGGGCGGTAAAATGTGGCCTGAGCACATTGGAGTGGTGATCTTCAGGCAGCTACCATTCTCCCTGAACAGATTAGAGTCTCCCTTTTCAGGGAAATGAGAAGAGTAGACTTTTTTTTTTCTTTTGACGAGAAGGCTGCTGCCATATAAATGCATGCTCTGACACAGGCCCATTGCCAGACTTGGATCCATGCACCATCCCTCTGTGGTGGGAGTGTTTGTTTTTCAGGTGGGGAAACGCAAGCTTAGTCTGCAAGGTGCTTTGGGCTGGTTTTGGAACCTGATTCTGCTGCCCCTAACCCAGGCATATACCTTTCCCATATTCTCATGACCCATGCATCCTTGTGACCTCATGGAAAGGCAGAGTTACGGAGGGGCACGGAGACGGAGACAGAGAGAGACAGAGACAGAGACAGAGAGAGAGAGAGACTCTATCTGCTGGTTCACTCCCCAAGTGGCTGCAATGGCCAGAACTGTGCTGATCTGAAGCCAGGAGCCAGGAGCTTCTTCTGGGTCTCCCATGTGGGTGCAGGGGCCCAAGGAGTGGGGCCGCCTTCCACTGCTTTCCCAGGCCACAGCAGAGAGCTGGGTCGGAAGTGGAGCAGCTGAGATTCAAACTGGCACACATATGGAATGCTGGCACTGCAGATGGCAGCTTTACTACCGTCTGTGCTATAGCACCGGCCCCTTTTGTCTTCTTGAAATGACTCCTGCAGCCAAATCCTGGACCCCTTCAATTCTGGACCCTACCCACCAGCCTTCCTCCTCCTTCTGATTCGCTCTCCGCACAGGAGGCAGTGCACTGCTTTTGCAGCTGTTCATCAGGTCACGCCAGGCTTCAGGGCCTTCCAGCGGCTTTCCATTGGAGTAGAACCCAGCCTCCTCATCACATCCCTCAGGACCCTCAGTCTCAGACCCGCCCATGACTCCTGGCCGTCGGTCACACTGGCCTCGTTCTCCTCCTCGAGTGGGCCGCGCTGCTGCTCCCTCAGCATCACTGCACCTGCTGTCGCCGCTGTGTGCTGTGTCTGACTGCTTAGTATCTAGGTCGCTGCATAGATGTTACCTCCTCTGCTGACTCACCTCTCTGAAGTTTTGTTTCCAACCTCACCCCCTCATATCATAATTTCTCATGTCTAATATCCATGGTCACCCTTTCCCTCGGACTGTCTTGATGTGTTTGCCAGTTGTCTTTGCTCTGCTAGACTGCGAGCGCAGTGCAAGCAGAGCAGGAGCCTTGTCTGCCAGATCCCCCGGTGTGCTCTCAGTGCTCGGGCCAGAGCAGTATGATAGGCTGAAACCTGTGTCCCCGTTACTGTCTGCTGGTGATGTGCGGGCTTGTCCTGCGAGGCCCTCGCACTGTAGGATGGTTGGGTGATGGCGCTCTTCGACAGGAAACACCGGGACAAGTTTCGGTGAACATGTCTGTTTATTAACAAGCAAACACACCTTTTAAAGGGGAGGCAGAGGGGGCGTAGCTAATTCAGGGCAACAGTAATTCTATAGGGTAAAGCCAATACTGGCGCCACTATGCTTCTCCAATCAGCTTGGAGGTCACGTAGCCTAGTAGCTTTCTAGGTGGTTCTGATGGGTCTGGGCCACAGCCAGGAGCTGTTTATGTGATTGGCAACTACAAGACCCTTCAACAGGGAGCAGCTGCCAGCAGTCAGGCCATCCCGGGAGGCATGGTGTGCCACACCCTGCTAACCTGCTGCGTGGGCTAGGCAGGCAGTCTCCCAGCCAGTCTCCCAGCCAGGCACAGGTTCACCCACAGTTATAGTGAGCACAGAACCTTCTTTGTGGGTTAGTAAGCAGAAGGCGATTAACATATGGCCTGGCCTGCTGGAGGTACGTCATGTATGCTGGTTCTCTTCCCTTTTCCCAGGGGCCTACAGCAGAACCCGGGAAAGGACACTGGACTGTGTGTAAGGTGACCTCCTGGCATCCTTTGCACACAGTGTACAAACAGGAATGACTCACTTTGCTGTGGGGTGGAGTATAGGGTACAAAGGGAAGAAGAGCTTTCCTAGGAGAGGGAGCTACCAGGGAGAGCTGTGATACAGAGACGCACCACTGTGTCTGCGCCAGAGCTAACTGCCAACATTGAGGCACGCTGGGCATCAGGAGGTGAGCCGGAGGTGTGCCCAAGATGAAGGTAGAGAGTTGGTGGGGCCAGAACCCCAGATAGTGGTCCTTAGTTTAGGTTTCCTCTAAGGGCCTGGGAGCACCTTGGAAGGCATTTATTTAAAGATTTATTTGTTTGAAAGGCAGAGTGACAGAGAGGGTCACACACAAGGGGGTGGGGAGGATCTTCCCACAGTATTACCCACAACAGCCAGCTATCCATCCACAGCACACAACAGCACAGCAGTGAGGTCTGGCTCAGGCCCAAAGCCAGGAGCCAGCAACTACGTCCTGGTCTCTGACATGGGTGCCAGGGCCCAAGTACTTGGGCCATCTTCTACTATTTCCCCAGGCATGTTAGCTGAAAGCCAGATAAGAAGCAGGACAACCAGGACTTGAGCTAGCATTCACCTACAAGTTGCAAGTGTCACAAGCCATGGCTTAACCCACTGTGCCGTAACACCAGCCTCTTAGGAGGCTTTTAAATCAAGTTGCGATGCAATCATGGATAGACGGTTAGGTAGGAAGATGTAAGATCGCTGGG